CTGTACTTAACTGTATTTTCAGCTTAAAACTTACTCAGTACAATAGATTTCCCTGGTGGCTCAACAGGTTAAAGCACAGCACTACAAGCAAACCATAACCCCTTCAGTGTAAGTTTGATCCCGCCCAGGAGGTGATCAACAAGGTGCAGGAGACCTCTCCTGATCCACACCCCCTTCATCTCCCTCCGTTCCAACCCCAACCTCCCAGCTCCCCTCAGCAGTTTACTTCATCAATCTGCCTGTTCTGCTCCCTGCTCTGTCTCAGGTGAATCCTCTTACCACCCTGCACCTTTGGCCTGCACCCCAGTTCTATATGTATAAATATATTATGCAGAAGGAGCAAAAGGGGTGTGATTTATATTAAAAGGAGGAACCCTTCAGGAGTAGATAATTTGTTCTCTTAACCACTAGCTTAGGGTCAAAGAGGTGCCAATAGTAACTTTTAGTCCTGTGTTAGTATTCAGGACAGCTCCTGAGATTCTGCCATTTCTCTTAAGTGTCCAGGCAGTATTTATACAACCAGTCTTGAAAACAATTGAATAGGAAGATTTTAAACTACTCTCAGGGGAAAGATTATCCAGTTGTTTCCAAGCCAAACGGACTTTCTTTTGTCTTATCATATGGCTTGGTATACCAACCTGGAAAATGAAAAGAAGGTATTTTTTTTGTGTCTTGTAGAAAACTCCTTATTACATCATGTTAAATACCTTTAAGGGAAAAAAAAACATTAAAAGCCATTTTTTAAAGCAGGTTAAACTTAGGTCAGACTGATAAAGTCTTTAGACTATTAATGAACCAAGTCATATTCCAAACAGAGTAAAGATAAATAAAAGAAAAAAGTGTCATTACAAAATTCACAATTGCGTTAGGGATTGGAAAGGTATATATGTAAATAAATTATAAATATAAAACACTTTGAGGCTTGGGTATAAATTAAAGAGTTTTCCAGAAGGAAGTTCATGAGAAATCAATCAATAAGTCATTAAGAAGAAAGATAAATACCAGATGACTTCACTTATATATAAAATGAAGAGAAAAAAAAAAACAATGGATAAGACAGAAACAAAACAAAAATCCTAGAAGTCTGGCTACAGAACTGAGGTTGCCAAAATGGGAGTGGAAGGGTAGGAGAGCAATGTTTGGAGGGGACCCAGTGGTCAATGGTGAGGAGTATGGGTGCCTTGGTGGTATCTAAGATGAATCACTGAAACATATACAGCGTTGAAAGCCAATATAACTTAATTAAAAAATAATTATGCACTATATCAAGCTAAAGAGCTTCTGTACAGCAAAAGAGACATTACTAAAAACAAACAGAAAGATCACTAATTGGGAAAACATTTTCTCACACAAAAGTAGCGATAAAGGACTGATCACAAAAATATACGGAGAACTGATGAAACTCAACAAAAATGAAGTAAACAACTCCATCAAAAAATGGGCAGTAGAGCTAAAAAGACACTTCTCCAAAGAGGAAATGCAGATGGCCAACAGGCATATGAAAAAATGTTCAACATCACTCGTAATAAGGGAGATGCAAATTAAAACCACAATGAGATACCACCTCACCCCAGTGAGAATGGCACATCTTCAAACAACTAGCAACAACAAATGTTGGCGAGGATGTGGAGAAAAAGGAACTCTCCTGCATTGCTGGTGGGAATGCAAACTAGTACAACCACTATGGAAAACTGTTTGGAGGTTTCTCAAACTGCTAAACATGGAGCTTCCCTATGACCCAGCAAAGGAGAATTCAGAGAGAATTTCAGACTCAGAATTTATAAGTATAAAAATAGACAGTTTTGAAACAAAAGAGGGAGAATGGAATCCCTCAAAAGTGAAAAGCAGAGCCAAAGTCAGGGGTACACAGGCTGGTAGCACATTCTCTGTGGATAAGGGAGTTTCCATGGAGAAGTGCTAGCAGGCACATCTGCATAGGAAGCTATGGCAGGTACATGGACAGATCCCAAAGTGAGGCAGAGAAGCTGGCCTTTCTTTGGTGGGGAAGGACTTCATCATTAGAAACCAACGCTCCCTGGTGGCTCAGCGGAGTTAAAGCGCAGCACTAAGAATCTAAAGTCCTTTCAGCATGAGTTGGATCCCCTGCCCCAGGTGACCAAATGGCAGGGCAGACCTCTCCTGACCCTGCTGCTCCCCTCAGCAGTGTACTTTGCCAGTCTGCCTGTTCTACCCCCACTCTGTTTCTGCTCTCCACTCTGTCTCTGGTGAATCCTCTCACCACCTGGCACCTCCAGCCTGTACCCCAGTTCTGAATGCATAAATAAATAAATCTTTTTTTAAAAAAAGAAGAAGGCAGAGACCAGTTACTTTCTGCTTAATGTTTTTAATTCAACTTTTTGAATTAAGGTCAGGTTCAACAATATCAGATCCCACAAATGTGGAAGAGTAAATATTTCCTGTGCAACAGTTGTAATTGTTCCCCAGTTCCCAAAGCAATTTAAAGTTGGAATGAGAGCTCTGTGGGATGGAGACACTTTCTGTTGCGTTAGGGACAGTGTCCACACACCCAATGAAGAGTGGTACTGGGAATAAACTGTGGCTGAACTAAAGCTAGTGAGGGTCTCCCTGGTGGCACAAGGGGTTAAGTCTCAATGCTATCAAGCTGTCACTAGCCACTGCAGTTTGAGTTCAATCTGGATCTCTGCCAAGGACTAGATCACAAGGACAGCAGACCTCTACTCTCTCTCTGCTGCTCCCCTCAGCAGTGCATCTCAATAGATCCACACATCCTGCTCTACACTCTGTCTTTGGTGAATCCTCTCAAACACACTCCCAAGACTCCGGCCTACCCCTAGTTCTTGTATGTATAAATAAAATAAATCTTTTTAAAAAATTATGTTAGAGGCCCTCCCTGGTGGCGCAGCGGGTTAAAGCACAGCACTGAGAATCTGAAGCCACTTCCGCATGAGTTCAATTCCCGCCTGCCCCGGAGGGTGATCCACATGGTAGAGGTGATCCACATGGCGTGGCAGACCTCTCCTGGCCCGCCCACTGCTCCCCTCAGCAGTGTACTTCG